TACAGATATCTTTTTTCTTCTTTTTTGATAGGTATTTAATAATAGCCTGAAATGATTATTCGTAACATTTTCAATTTGAAAAAGGAACTATGAAACGATCAAGTGCGAGTAATATCATTTATTTATTTATGAATTATCATTAAATTTGAATAGAAACGAATATTCTATCTATGACTCGGTTATGTTATTTATTTATTTTTTACTTTTTTGAGTTCAGAAAAATTATTTGTTTGGTCAGTGTATCAAGAAAACAAAGGGCCAAAAATAACGAGAAAAATATATATATGAAGAATGAATGTCGGAATTAGTTTCAATTAAATGTGCGTGTTTTTTTTTTGTTAAAATTATTTAGAAGTTCATTACAGCGTAATGCAATGGTTTATTATGCGAATGGTCAAAGACTTTTTATGGCACTCTTTCAATGGTGCCATAATTCGTACGCTTGATTATTGAATTTAATTACTGCCAACACTTCATATTTTTCTTACATGATCATAATTTAGTACCATATTATTCATTATAATTTTAAAATATAATTCCTTTAGTGTATCGCAGTATTGAATGACTATTCGCCTCAGTTTTACAATGACATCTTTCAGAAAGTATTCCGTGTATCCATGGCAAATAATGTGCTACTGGAACATATACAGCTGATGATTTTAGCTCATATTGGTATGTGTATTTATTCCATAAATTGGCTGTTCGCTTACAATGTTTTGGAAGTCCCAAGAGATGGAATCCATCATCAACAACGTGAAATATTGGTTCTGTAAACTGGAACTGTAATTTTAATGAAAATAATTAGATCATGGTTTATTACTAGGGGGCAGACACGTGGAATAGGATTCGACTTTTAGTGTAAAGATTCAAGAAATTGCAGTGAAATAGCAACGTCTGTGAATGGATTCGCGCGGAATAGTGAAACCGTGCATGTAATAGCAAAAATTGTTTCACTTCAAATCCATTTGACATTAATTTTGACGTTTATTGATGGATTAGCGGAATAGTTGAATTAGCACTTTTGACAGAAACAGTGGAATAGGAAAAATAGTTTCGATTTCACATTTGTGTTTTTGGATTAGTGGAATAGCTGGATTAGTAATTTATATAGTGGATTCGGAATTTATTCTTTGATGTCTCCCCCCTAGGTTTATTAGAATGTAAATAGATTCAAGTTTTGTATTTAAGATTTTACCTGACATATATCACAGTCCGGGCACTCATCTTCAATATCAATACACATCAAATTTGTTTCATTTTCGTCGGAATTCATTAATGCACATATATTATCTGGCCAAAAATACACATTCATTTTTTTTGTGTAGGTAAGCATACCTAGATCGTAAGAAATTGCAATAGGTAATTTCTGCAACGGGTAATCATTAATGTTTAATGGCATAGTTGGCAGTACGACTGCTTCAGTATATTCGTTGAAATTCATTTTTTGTGTAGTCTCTAGGATAGCCACATGAAAACCATATGGATTGCTTTGATACTCTGGATGAAGAAAAACGTGTTTAACGTCCAGTTTATGTTTTCTGCTTATGTGGATCTCAGTGTATTTAAGCCTTTAAATATTTATTATATTTTTATTACTTAAATATTTATAAAAACAGACAAACGTTTGAAAATTAACTTACCAAAAGTTTTTTGGCAAAAATTGGCTTTTTGATTCATCCAAGTCCAAAGGATTTCCTTTATAGGGAAGAACACAGTTTGTTGTGGCCAGTATATGCTTGTTAGATAATATTACCGCGCTACACCGTTCAAAACCAAACTGATAGACTACCGCCGACCAAGGCGAACTGATTGTATCGGCCTTATCAAAATGTTTGCTTTGATTTTTGAAAGTTCCTGTTTCTATAGAAAAAACGATAAATAAATAAAGGACAAGTGTACATTTTGTGAAAGTTCATCGGTCAGTTTATTTCGGAACGCAATCAAGCTTTGAGAAAAAACTTTCAACAGATGGCGGCACGTGCATGAAAATTCTTGTAACTGAAAGTAACAATGAAAACCATTTTTTATGTTTATCATTTTTGTTTTCCTTAACATCCATACCTATTTTATGGTAATAAGATTTTTGCCAAAATAAACGACAAAGATGGCATTAAGAATTGCATCGTGTACGATGACAACGAGAGAAATTACTTATGGTTTTCGTTAATATGCTAAATTAATATCTTTTTTTGCTCAGTTTGATCGCGCTCATTTCTTCTTTTATTCTTTCTCCCTTTTTTTCAATATATGAAAATAGCATCGCTTTTTTATTCGAATAAAATATATGTAAAATTAATTTCCGTGTAGGTGCCGCCATATGTCGAAAGTTTTTCTTAAAGCTTGATTGCGTTCCGAAATTAACTGACCAAAAAAAAAAATGTACAATTGTCCTTTAATATCCAATTATTGTATTCCCGGACTAAATAATTTTAAAAGGACCGAGTACGACGTTTCCCCCTTTGCTAAGCGAAATTAATCCGATATACGGCGCTGATGTAAATGTCACTCTATCTTCATTCCACATGTATAATTTTTGAATTTTCCGAGTAAAAAAAAGAAACATATCATAAAATATTCTTCTTACGTTCATAAGAATTCTCAATATCTTAAATTTGTTTAAAAATAACAATAATTTCAATTTTTTTTTTCATAGATTGAACAAGAATCCAATGTGAATAGTAATACCAATGCGACACCTACCGTAAAAATACAAAAGGAAACTTAGTTGGGATTGTAGCATTTTGGTCCGCCATGACAGCATCTTCGATACGATCGTTTTGCTTTTTTGTGATTGGCCAAGTGAAACGAAGATGCTGTCATGGCAGACCAAAATTCTACAATGGAGACCAACTAAGTTTCTTTCTGCATTTTTACGGTAAGTGTCGCATTGTTATTACTATTTACATTGGATTTTTATTTGATCGATGAAACATTTTTTTTGAAATTATTTTAATTTATAAACAAATTAATATTTTTATAAAAATTTTAATGAAAGGCGTTGGAAAAATATTTTTTGAGATGTTTTTTTACTCAACGATTCACTAATTATGCATGTGTATGCATTTTCAGGCCAAAAAATGTATTATTATGAAATGACAGAGTGACATTTACATCAGCGCCGTATATCGAATTAATTTCGCTTAGAAAAGGGGGAAATATTTTGACAGATAATACTCGATCCTTTTCATAAATCAATTTCATCGAATAGATTGTTAAATTATTATTCAAATAATGATGGGGAACGTTGAATTGGGGTTGGGGAAAGCTGATTTAAGGATAAAAAATATAGCACCTGTTCGGGATATGAAAAAAATCAGCCCCTGTAAAAGGTCAATTTTTGGGGTCAAAATGGAAATTATCAAGTAGTATCACGTCCAGATTTTAAAATTAACTATATAGATCAATAGTAAATGAAGAAAAAATAATTTAGTGAAAAGGGGGGTTGCCCCCCTTGGGTATTAGCAACCCCCCTTTTCACTAAATTATTTCCCCACTCCCAATATATCGTCCCCCATCATTTTTATAACTTGAAAAATACCATTAATAAAAAAAATCGATTTAAAGAGGATGTCGTAAAGTGTAGTTTAGCCCAAATACACTGCCAAATCTATTACTTATGCGAAGCCAATCGGCTCTTCACTTCAGCTAACATCGAATGACATATAAATAGGCATTATTTATGATGTTTATTATTATTAAACGGTAGTTAAGGTGCTTAAGTATCGGCTATTGTCAAGCCAAGCTCACATCACACTGTCAAACAAACCAAACACCAAAATAAAAGAGCGAGAAAACGGACTGGATGGAATGAGAAACAAAATACGGAACAACAACAATTATTCATAAAATTTCAAGAATGAAATGTATCAAGTCAAATTCCCTTGCGCGAGTGCGAAAGTGCGAAAGGGAAGAAAGTAACAAATGGAAAACTATTCAATTGAAAATGTATTTAAAAAAAATACGAAGACGGGGCCAACAGATAGGATGCATGTAGACCAAAACGAAGAACATTGAATGAATTTTATTTATAAAAACGGAATATGTTGAGGCAATACAAAACAGTTTATGCGAACGATTTATGTTGCATAAATTCTCATTAAATAAATTTAGTTTCACGCAATTTTCAATTTTTTTTTTTTTTTTTTTTTTTTTGAAACACTTACCGCAAATGCATTGTGAATAGCAGTTCGTAAATAAAAAAAATAACTGCAGCAAAAAAATGATATGATCAATATTTTTTTTCATTTTGTATGATTAATACTGAACTTTATAATATTGAATGTGATTGCACTACACTGTTGATTGCACTACAGTTTTATACCGACTGACTGCATTTGTCCAAACTTTCATGAAGAGTGGAAATGATTCATACAAATGAGCAGCTTAAAATAAAAGTATATAATGGCAAAATGTTTTATACTGCTTTATGATTGAGATTCTTTTAACATTTCGCCAGTTCAAATATGCATGCAAATTAAAATGAAATTGTTTGGTTGTTTAAAGCTTCTCATATATCTCATAAATAAATATTTTGGTTAATGTATGTTTTGTATTTATATTCACTATAATGCATTTGATGAACAAACATTTATTTGGGGGTCATTTCATTTGTGTAGCTCTTTATTGACATAATTACTCTGAGAAAACTCAGATGTTAAAATTCAAAGTAATAAGAGAAAAATGCCATTTTAACATGGAGAGGTTTTTAAACATGGTAAAATCTTATTTTACCCGCAACACATTTCTTTGTGGGTAAAACCGCATTTTAACATGTGAAAAAATCTCTCCATGTTAAAATGACGACAAAATGCCATTTTAACATGGAGAGATTTTTGAACATGGTAAAATCTCATTTTACCCGCAACACATTTCTTTGCGGGTAAAACGGCATTTTAACATGTGACAAAATTTCTCCATGTTAAAATGGCATTTTGTCGTCAATACTATTGTATTTTGCTTTAATAGCGGCCGGAATTTATGAAAATATATTGGAAAATTTAGATGAAAGACTAGAACTAATACCTCCAGGTAAAAATTATTTTGGTTAACAAAATTAATCACATTTCCATTTATTTGACTTATTTATTTATTCACCGTCTGATCACAGACTGAATTTATCACAAAATTTGTACAATATCATTCACAATGAAATACCACCCGATCGTATACCCAGCTACCAGCCTTTTCGACTTCGGAGTAGCAGATATCGATTGTGTTCACTGTTTTAATTTCTATATTCTATATAACACATAAAAGTTAAAAGTTAAATTTTTCCACCGATCAAATATCACATTTTCCAATTTGACAATATTGTTTCTAAAAATATTTCTCTTATCAAGTTAAAGTTTCTACAAGCTACGTAAAACGGCTGATTATGTGCATAATCCGATGAAAATGCCCCAACTCTAATCAGTTCTGTACTTCTTAAATTTCTTTGGTTTTCGTCATATTCCAGTCTTGTGTATACCATTTTATTTCTAAGTGAACTAGACACTATTTTACCCAAAAGGAGATCATAAAATACAGAGGCATTTATACGCCGTCTCCAAAGCGGTTGAATATTTAAAACATCACATCTAAATTGAATGGTTGAGAATAATAATGAAACTTAATTTTTGTTCAAACTGAAGTGTCACTTCGGAATATTTCCAATAAAAGTGTCCCAAGTTTGTATATAGTTTGCCATATAAACTTGGGACACTTTTATTGGAAATATTTCGAAGGGACACTTCAGTTTGAACAAAAATTAAGTTTCATTATTATTCTCAAGCGTTCAATTGATACGGTGGTAGCACAAAATTTCTATCTTTTTGGTAAATAAATCTCAATGTCCAAATCACAAAATCTTTCTGAATCGATTCTATTCTATTGGAATGGATACGGTGATATGGTTGCCATACATACGTCCTCAGCAGGGGTCCGAGGGGTCCGATTACCCCCCCCTGACGAAGTGTTACCCCTTCAAAATTTTCAAAGAATTCTTTCAATTTGCTAGGGAATTTCGCCAAAA